CTGGTACCAAGCAATATATTTGCGGTAGCCATAATAATCATAGTCTCAGAGCTTAACATCAAAAAAGGAGGGAGGGTGGCGTTAGCTGATCAGTAGATATGGTGGGGTCACTAAGGTGAATCGCCCCATTCTGCAGGAACAGCAATATCAAATTAAAGGCTCGAGATATTTCTGATTTTTATGAGGGCTTAGATCTTTATCTTGAAAAAGATAATAATGAACGCCTTGACAGATCATGCTTCTACCTTTAAATATATACCATTCGCTCAGCCTATTGTTGAGATGCGACCATGTGGGATCTGCACAGATTTATGGGGCATCTTATAAACTAACTTGCTGTCCATTGTCAGATCTTTAAATACCACTTCACAATGTCTTATCTCATTCATTTTCCAATAACGTCTTTACTTGATCCTCATTATATCCATTAAACCTAACATTTTACAGCTCTTTATGACTTATTATATTCCTACTCTCTGAAGGGTACGGTTGTGCACCAAATGCACAAAAAGGTATAAAACAAAAACAACTGGCACAACTGAGGATAAATGTATTAAAACCAAAAGTGGACATCATGATAGTACGAACTATATGGGTAGCATTATACATTGCAAATGAACGTTGTCAGCCTAGGGAGTTTCTTTTATTAATGCATTTATTAATGATACTTGCACTTACCTATTTCATTACAATTTAATGATTCACCTCAGCACTTTTACTTTTCTAAAACAGCTTTCAATCCCTTGTAAACGTTGTACTTACCTCAATATTGGTTGGTTATCGTATGCCGACAACCACGGGATGAAAACGAAACGAAGTCGATTTTCCCGCTCAACCTGGAGGACAACTGTACAATTCAATAACTATACGGCCTAGTTCAGACAATGAGTGTATATATATATATGAAATATTTAACAACCGAAACATTATTAACCTGTAGACAATCTACGATTTGATATTACATCATACTTGATCGTTCCTGTAAAAGTGGCATGCATTTTCATGTAAATTTATATGACTCAATGAAAATATACATTAATATTAATATTAATAAAGAAATTTTGAGTGGCCAATCGGTGTTTTAGTTTTCGCGTCCGTTATAACTAAGCGTTTCTGAGAAACTTCAAGGAACAGCGTGAGCCCGAGTGCAGCAAGTGCTGGGCATTGACGGTTTACGGGACGTGACTGACAACTTCTGATGGTAGAAACAGATTTGGCGGATTCAGACAGTTAGTGATAGTTTGGATAGTCGTCATTCATTTTTCCTGGTGCCGCTCAAGTCCTCTTTGAACAAGCAATATCTGGAACATTTTTAGAATTGGGTCAAGTTCAACAATGCCTGGGTCAAAGAAGGGACAGAGGGTCTTGGATGCAAACAGGAAAGTAAGTCATGGTGACTTGTCTGTTAATTGTAACGATGTGTCTGATGTTAAGCATGACATGGTTGATGTTACTGTTTCGCCGTTCAGGGATAATAGGAACATCAAACTCCCTAAATTTGAACCACGGTGTTTTGATGGAAACCCGGCTGATTATTTACAATTTGTAAAGGAGTTTGAGATCATGCTGAGTGGTTTTTTATTAAATGATGAATTGAAATTGATGTATTTGATGAGGTACTGCACTGGAGATGCTTCAAGAGCTATACAGTGCTGTAAGTTTATGAAGCCAAAAGAGGTCTACGATGAGGCTAAGAGCATATTACGTCAAAGGTTTGGAAGAACTTCAATGAATGTAAGGAACGTATACGAAGCTGTCAAAGGTAACGGCAGTCAACTTCAAGATGACTCCAAGGCAATTACTGAGTTTTTGAATTATCTTATGACTTTTAGGAATACCTTGATTTCTATGAATTGCATGAGTGACCTCAACTCGAGTTTTATACTAGAAGTAATAGCAAGACGCCTACCTACTCGACTGCAAAGGAAGTGGGTGAAGATAAGCTCCCATATGTAGGATGAGGGTATCGAGCCAAAGTTTGATGATATCCTGAAACTAGTAAAAGATAGTGTCAATCAATCGATGAGCAAGTTTGCCAGTATATTGATACTCATCCCTAGAATATAGCAGTCTGAGATCAAAATGCAATCATTGATGACGAGTAGGCCTCAGAGAGGTGGTTATCGAGAAAGCTCCATGATGTCTAGTAATGCATATAGACCTAGTGAGTGTAACAGGTTTCGTAGTACATCCTCAACAGATAAGTTACAAGATGCAAGACAAAGACGGTTGTGTTTTACACGTTTGCAAGAGGTGCATACGGAAGTGAACTGTGAACTGGTGAGCAAGTTCAGTGATAAGCTAAATGTGAAATCAAGTTCTGACTCCGAATTGTGTGACGATAACGGTGCGGTGAAGAAGTCAGTAGTTGCAACTGGTAAGCCGTTGTTGAATAAAGTGTCACAGAATAGAGTTGCTGCTTCAGAGTGCAGTTCTGACCCTACAAGTTTACAAGGTATTACTAGTCAGAGTGAAGTTATAAAACCTTTTAGAAATTGCGAGGAGGAATCAACATAGTCTAATTCTGATAATAAAGAGTTGGTAATTGATGAAGTCGACAAGATAGATGATGATAAATTGAATATTCGTGATAATGATCATGATACTTCACAGTTGTCTTTGGTTGATAATGATGAGATGAGGGATATGCCTACTACTGCTAAGTTGAACAAAGTTTCTGTACAACTACAACGTGAAGTAGAAATAAATGCAGATTCAGTTGCAGAAGGCATACCTACTTGTGAGACCGTCAGTGTGATTGATCAGCATGTAGCCCACCTATCATCAGATGCCAGTGCTAAGTCTGAGCTGATAGTAAAAGACAGCAGTGGTGGTGGTCTTGCAGGTAAACAAATTTCTGAGTGCCGAGCAACAACAGCTTCTGATCCACCGCTGACGTCAACAACTGGTATCAATCAATCGTCGTTGGTGTTGTCATCCACAATGAAAAAGACGCCCATCAACTCAAGTATCTTGTGCAATGACTATGGTAGTATTGGTGCATTTGAAAAGACGAAAGATATTGGTCAGTTTAGTGAGAATAAGCCAAGTGTAAACGAGAGAGTAATTGTTAAATTGACTCGCATGAATAGAGGCATTTCTAGTTTCAAGTTACTATTTGAATGCTATTATCTTTGGTGTAAATTACTCTGTGCCTACGCATGGTTGACCAGATACGTCGTGTGTTTGTTCGTCATCTATGTTCTACGATACAATGACATGAGCGTGTTACCGTTCAGATTTGAGGATATAGCTGATAGAAGGAAGTCAGCAAATGAACTCCGCGACGATTTTCCAACCTAGAGCGTCAACCTGAGAAGGGTTGTAGGCGTACTGCTGTAAGTCCTACAGTTCTTCAAGGGTAGTTCGTCAAGGCAGAATCCACAACATTTGATGTGTTGATTGTACATATGTTTTTGATAAATAGTTGTGAGAGTTCCAATTACAGTAATTGTTGAATAATTTGTTTGTGTTCGGACATTCCACAAATTACAATCGTCAACCTGTGAAGGGTTGCAGGCGTACTGGTGTAAGTCCTGAAATTCTCCAAAGGAATTCCAGCGAGACACAATCTGAGAATTTGTGTGTACTGTTTGTGTATACGAGTGGTGTGTCAATCACGTCTCATAAACCGTTAATACCCAGCTCTCGCTACGCTCGGGCCCTCGCTGTTCCTTTGAGTTTTCAGAAACGCTTAGTTATAACGGACGAAAAACCAAAACGCCGATCTGCCGTTTGATATTTCTGTTTATTGTTACACCAACATATAAAAGGAATAAGCGAACTAAGCAAACTAAGGTCTGAAAACAAATATTACAATAATAAATCACTGTATTACTTCTGAAGATATTTTACACTTCTTCCTGAACAGCGACCGATGAGACGATGACTGTCGTATTGATGCCTCCGCGAAAATTGGGGAAGTTGATTTTGAGCAAACAACCAAGAATTGATCGTTCAATCTTCAACTCCATTGACACTCCCCGGAAAAAAACGGATCCAACCCCTTTTTTCCTTCACGACCAATGCACGTTGACTTGGATGCCATTGCGAGAACCTGGGTCACACGGACAGAGCTGAAATGGAAAACAAACAGAAAAGCCGACACTCCACAAGCATACCCACAGCACAATCTCACACATCAATGACGACCTGAGCCTCCAGAGAGAGAACCCCTCTTGACATCTTCCAAAACAATCGCCACTTCCTAGAATGACTCTTGCAGAATGCAACGTGACCATAGCACCACCTCATGATACTCCACGCGCATCCTCTTATCTGCTCACTACCAATTACCACTGCAATCGCTGGTCACTCATTCTGCCTCAGTTCTAGTAACGGTGACGCATGCGAGCCTCAGTCGTTTACACTCTTCCTCCCCGACGTGTGAGACCACAGCTAACAATTATCTCCGTGTGCATTTCATTCTCAGCAATAGCCTAGCCTCCCCGGCGTATACGACCCATCTGCTGTCTCTAACATCAATCAATTCATTCACGGATGTAGAAGACAAGAAACAACTTCAGAAGTAATCACGACGAAAATTTTAACAAAATTATGCAATAACAAGAAGGCACGAAAACAACGAGTAAACACAACTGATCCAAAATCACAAATTGCGAAGACACACCACACGTATACACAAACAGTACAAATAACCTCGCGGATCATGTCTTGGTGGAATTATTTTGAAGAATTGGAGGACTTACACCAGTACGCCTACAAACCTTCACAGGTTGACGATTGTAAGTTGTGGAATGTCCAGACACAAACAAGTTTAACCAACAACTACATTAATTGGAACTCACACAACTATTTAACACAAACATATGTACAATCAACACATCAAATGTTGCGGATTCCGGCATGACAAACTACCCTTGAAGAACTGTAGGACTTGCAGCAGTACGCCTACATTCCTTCTCAGGTTGATGATCCAAGTGGAAGTCGTCCGGACACAAACAGAATTAACAACAGCTAGATGACAGATGATACCAATTCAGTATATACAATATGAACATATGTACAAAATCACACACCGAGCACATTGGACTGCTCACTGATGCGCTACCCTTTGAAGAATTGTAGGACTTACAGCAGTACGCCTACAACCCTTCTCAGGTTGACGCTCTAGGTTGGAAAGTCGTTGCGGAGTTCATTTGCTGACTTCCTTCTATCAGCTATATCCTCAAATCTGAACGGCAACACGCCCATGTCATTGTAACGTAGAATATAAATGACGAACAAACACACGACATATCTCATCAACCAAGTGTAGGCACAGAGTAATTTACACCAAAGATAATAACATTCAAATAGTAACTTGAAACTAGAAATGCCTCTATTCATGCGAGTCAATTTAACAATTACTCTCTCGTTTACACTTGGCTTATTCTCACTAAACTGACCAATATCTTTCGTCTTTTCAAATGCACCAATACTACCATAGTCATTGCACAAGATACTTGAGTTGATGGGCGTCTTTTTCATTGTGGATGACAACACCAACGACGATTGATTGATACCAGTTGTTGACGTCAGCGGTGGATCAGAAGCTGTTGTTGCTCGGCACTCAGAAATTTGTTTACCTGCAAGACCACCACCACTGCTGTCTTTTACTATCAGCTCAGACTTAGCACTGGCATCTGATGATAGGTGGGCTACATGCTGATCAATCACACTGACGGTCTCACAAGTAGGTATGCCTTCTGCAACTGAATCTGCATTTATTTCTACTTCACGTTGTAGTTGTACAGAAACTTTGTTCAACTTAGCAGTAGTAGGCATATCCCTCATCTCATCATGATCAACCAAAGACAACTGTGAAGTATCATGATCATTATCACGAATATTCAATTTATCTCCGTCGACTTCATCAATTACCAACTCTTTATTATCAGAATTAGACTATGTTAATTCCTCCTCGCAATTTCTAAAAGGTTTTATAACTTCACTCTGACTAGTAATACCTTGTAAACTTGTAGGGTCAGAACTGCACTCTGAAGCAGCAACTCTATTCTGCGACATTCTATTCAACAATGGCTTACCAGTTGCAACTACTGACTTCTTGACCGCACCGTTATCGTCACACAATTCGGAGTCAGAACTTGATTTCACATTTAGCTTATCACTGAACTTGCTCACCGGTTCACAGTTCACTTCCGTATGCACCTCTTGCAAACGTGTAAAACACAACCGTCTTTGTCTTGCATCTTGTAACTTATCTGTTGAGGATGTACTACGAAACCTGTTACACTCACTAGGTCTATATGCATTACTAGACATCATGGAGCTTTCTCGATAACCACCTCTCTGAGGCCTACTCGTCATCAATGATTGCATTTTGATCTCAGACTGCTATATTCTAGGGATGAGTATCAATATACTGGCAAACTTGCTCATCGATTGATTGACACTATCTTTTACTAGTTTCAGGATATCATCAAACTTTGGCTCGATACCCTCATCCTACATATGGGAGCTTATCTTCACCCACTTCCTTTGCAGTCGAGTAGGTAGGCGTCTTGCTATTACTTCTAGTATAAAACTCGAGTTGAGGTCACTCGTGCGATTCATCGAAATCATTCCATTCTTGTAAATTAGCAAATTATCTAAAAACTTATTGAGTGCCTGGGAGTCATCCTATAATTGACCACCATTACACTAAACAGCCTCGAATAATTTCCCTGCAATCATCAAAGTTCTTCCAAACCTTTGACGTAATATGCTCATAGCCTCGTAGTAGCCCCCTTTTTGCTTCATAAACTTACAGCACTGTATAGCTCTTGAAGCATCTCCAGTGCAGTACCTCATCAAATACATCAATTTCAATTCATCATTTAATAAAAAACCACTCAGCATGATCTCAAACTCCTTTACAAATTGTAAATAATCAGCCGGGTTTCCATCAAAACACCGTGGTTCAAATTTAGGGAGTTTGATGTTCCTATTATCCCTGAACGGCGAAACAGTAACATCAACCATGTCATGCTTAACATCAGACACATCGTTACAATTAACAGACAAGTCACCATGACTTACTTTCCTGTTTGCATCCAAGACCCTCTGTCCCTTCTTTGACCCAGGCATTGTTGAACTTGACCCAATTCTAAAAATGTTCCAGATATTGCTTGTTCAAAGAGGACTTGAGCGGCACCAGGAAAAATGAATGACGACTATCCAAACTATCACTAACTGTCTGAATCCGCCAAATCTGTTTCTACCATCAGAAGTTGTCAGTCACGTCACGTAAACCGTCAATGCCCAGCACTTGCTGCACTCGGGCTCACGCTGTTCCTTTGAGTTTTCAGAAACGCTTAGTTATAACGGACGAAAAAACCAAAACGCCGATCTGCCGTTTGATATTTCTGTTTATTGTTACACCAACATATAAAAGGAATAAGCGAACTAAGCAAACTAAGGTCTGAAAACAAATATTACAATAATAAATCTCTGTATTACTTCTGACGATATTTTCACTTCTTTCTGAACAGCGACCGATGAGACGATGACTGTCGTATTGATGCCACCGCGAAAATTGGGGAAGTTGATTTTGAGCAAACAACAAAGAATTGATCGTTAAATCTTCAACTCCATTGAGACGGTGTGTCTTCTTAATATGTGATTTCGGATTAATTGTTTTTACTCTTGTTTTCGTACCTTCTTGTTATTGCATAATTTTGTTAAAATTTTCGTCGTGATTACTTCTGAAGTTGTTTCGAGTCTTCTACATTCGTGAATGAATTGATTGATGGTAGAGACAGCAGATGGGTCGTATACGCTGGGGAGGCTAGGCTATTGCTGAGAATGAAATGCACACGGAGATAATTGTTAGCTGTGGTCTCACACGCCGGGGAGCGAGAGTGTAGACGACTGAGGCTCGCATACGTCACCGTTACTAGAACTGAGGCAGAATGAGTGACAGGCGATCGCAGTGGTAATTGGTAGTGAGTAGATAAGAGGATGAGCGTAGAGTATCGTGAGGTGCTGCCATGGTCACGTTGCATTCTGCAAGAGTCATTCTAGAAAGTGGCGATTGTTTTGCAAGAGGATGCCTTTAACTGGAAGGCGCAGGTCGTCATTGATGTGTGAGATTGTGCTGTGAGTATGCTTGTGGCGTGTTGGCTTTTCTGTTTGTTTTCCATTTCAGCTCTGTCCGTGTGACCCAGGTTCTCGCAATGGCATCCAAGTCAACGTGTATTGGTCGTGAAGGAAAAAAGGGGTTGGATCCGTTTTTTGCCGGGGAGTGTCAATGGAGTTGAAGATTGAACGATCAATTCTTGGTTGTTTGCTCAAAATCAACTTCCCCAATTTTCGCGGAGGCATCAATACGACAGTCATCGTCTCATCGGTCGCTGTTCTGTAAGAAGTCAGCAGAAAACTGTCAGAAGTAATCTTATGATTTATTATTGTAATATTTGTTCACAGAGCTTAGTGATACTTGATTTTTTTGTTGGTGTAACAATACAGAATCCTCAATTCAACATTTGGTGTTTTGGTTTTTTTCGTCCGTTATTACTAAGGGTTCCTGAGAAACTTCAAGCGACAGCTTGAGCTCGAGCGTAGCAAGAGCTGGGCATTAACGGTTTACGAGACGTGGCTGACAGTTGTGTTTTACACCTTTGCAAGAGGTGCATACAAATGTGAACTGTAAACCAGTGAGCAAGTTCAGTGATAAGCTAAATGTGAAATCAAGTTCTGACTCCGAATTGTGTGACGATAACGGTGCGGTCAAGAAGTCAGTAGTTGCAACTGGTAAGCCATTGTTGAATAGAATGTCGCAGAATAGAGTTGCTGCTTCAGAGTGCAGTTCTGACCCTACAAGTTTACAAGGTATTACTAGTCAGAGTGAAGTTATAAAACCTTTTAGAATTTGCGAGGAGGAATCAACATAGTCTACTTCTGTTAATAAAGAGTTGGTAATTGATGAAGTCGACCAGATAGATGATGATAAATTGAATATTCGGGATAATGAACATGATAGTAATATTAATAATATATATTCTCATTTTTTACATGAGGGACGCCAGTTTACAGGCATCATCAATTCGATAATTTACACATAATATTAATAAGCATATTTAGTAAAGATAATATAATTAAGTACATTTTTTTCCCTAGCTATATAGGGTACACCAATTGTATAGGCATGCATAAATATTGTTTTAATAATAATAATATATTCCTTCCTGTTTATGCAGGAACATACCTATTGTACAGGCATGGATAAGTTATTAAATAAATTACACATAATTTGATGTATAATGGACTTACAGTTTGGTTGTTCTTTCTGACATTAGAGTCAGTCGGAACAGTCTGCTATAAAGTGTTTTTTTGTAGCACATAAAGAGATATAGAAATATTGTCTTCGCATTAACAAAAAACCCAGACATCAGATGAATGTAATACAAATATCTGGGAAAAATAAAGCTTGAAGTCAATTCTCTTATATAACTTTGTTGTGAACAGCACCCTTGGCTTAAAGATTATTGATGTATTATGTTGAGATCAGTGATATATTTATTCCATTTTTCAGCAGTCTTATCGTAGTTTCATAACAGGAAAGAAATTTGATCGTGGAGGCGAAAATTAGATAAGGTCATGTCGGGTTGTTTTACTGCATCAAATGGTCCCGAGGTCGATTCCAGAATTCCCCATTTGCGCCATTTGTGTCTGCATGGCGGACTGTACTCGTAAGTTGAGTAAAATGTTGAAAACCAGTTGCTTCTTTATTTCAGATCATGAATACTCATTTACATCGTGTCCGCCAGCTTCTTTAAATGGTAGAATTGGATCGTTCCTGGAATTTGAGTGATTATGGGATAAATGGTTTGGAATTAATCATAGCAGTTAGAATACAGTTAAACATGCAGAGAAGTACTTTTGATTCAGCAACCGGTGAATTTTTTATTCTTTTCGATCTAGTACCAGAATAACTGCGAACCATTCCATTCAATATGTCGAATAAGGCACGCAGGAGGAGATCATTACCATGGAATGAGTCAACTTGATCTGAGATGCAGCTTTCAGCATGTTTTCGTTATATCATAGATATCCAGGTTTATTGGCGCTGTAGAGGCAGTGATTTGGATTATGACGTATTCTACAAAGTCTCCGTGCCCATTTGAAGTATACATGTGCTTTGAAAGGATTACTTTGTTGGCTCCTACCCCCACTGAGTGTTAACAACAGCTGCTGTGGGTTTATGTATTTCCTCGCCTTTTTGGATAAAACATCGCCGCATTCTTTTTGGGTAGGAGACCAGTTGGTGGATTATAAATGATATCCAAGTAACTTTTATCTTTTCATGTGGTGTTGCGGTAAGTTTCTACCTTGTTTTCTCATATTTCATTCGTATGTTGATTATGGTTCGCCCTTTGTATCAGGTAGACATAGTTTGATCGACTCTTGGTTGAATGGGTGTTATTGTCATGACTGCTGCTTTTTTGTCTGGAATTATAAATAGAGACAAAACAAACAACAGGTGTAGTCTCTGAGTTCATACATTAAATGGGCCTATGATTTCTGAAACTCTTACATGGGAATTACCATTGGTATCAATTACAAACTCACTTAGTGTGTCATTAAGTGCCTTTTCAAAGGAGGCCAATGTGCTTGCTAGTCGTATTTTCTCAGGTAGTTTGTTCCATATTTGGGCATACCTAATCAAGAAAAACTTTTGCCTGGTGGCTGTTTTACATGGTTCTATAGCCACTGTACCTTTAGTGTGCCTAAGGTTGTATCCTGTGTTACCTGAGGACCGAGTATAGTTAGCAGGGGTATACACTATTTGGTTAAGAAGCTTATAGAAGA